ACTCTTTCCAAGTCGGGGACCGTGTGGTGATACAAGCCCTCCATAGGAATCGGAAGCAAGAGTATCCCTTTGGGCCCCCCACTTCTGTGATCGCTGTCACCAGGACCGCTGTCCTGACTGAGGATTCCAAGGCCTGGATCCATGCCAGCCGTGTAAAAAGGGTGAACCAAGTCCCTAAGAAGCAAGACAAAGGCAAAGACACAGATACAGAAGAAGAAAAAGGAAGTGAAGCCGGTGTAAAAGTCTTTGAAGAAGATGACCTTTCTGATGCTCTCACAGAACTCTGGGCAGACATTTTGCTTCCTCATACTAGCAGCCCTGACTGTGTTCCTCCCAGTATGGACAATAACTAACTGTATTTATCACCCAGATGATTATGGAGTGATTAAGAGTATATGTAATACCTCCATCCAAGCTAGTGACCCAGATAATGCAGAACCAGTGCACACACAAAACCATAGTACACCACATTCTAGTGTCAGAAAGAAACAAGGTCTAACGCGCACTAAGAGAAGGTTGAGAAGAGTGTCCTTTGTACCAGATAAGGGATGGGGGGTACAGGAAACGCCAGTCTTGACTACTGAGGATTCAAACCAGACCATAGTGTTTACTCTGACTAAGAACCAGGTGTTTGACCCGACTAAAGTTACTTATGATCTTGGACCTCATAATGTATATATGTGTGGGAAGGATAAGTCATGTGGTGACTGGGAGAATGTATGGTGGACAACAGACCCCCATAAATGGGAGACCAAATCAGCTAGAATTTCCCCAGATGACGTAGGCACCTATCAAAGAATCTCTATAGCAAAAGGCCAAGGGAATATCATTTTCACAATAAGGAACCCACAGGTCAGAGATAGTGGGGAATATAGGTTTGGGAATAACTGTGTCAGGAACAGACCCCTGGGCCAACTTCATATTACAGGTAAAACCCTCCCCAAGAGTCCATGTCAATACCATAGACAATTCATTCCCCAAAGTTAGGAATCGACTGGATAATGAGGACAGGAGTAGTGATGCAATCAGAAGACAGATTAAGCATTGAAACTGGTTACTCTTGACAAAAATGAATGGATTGAATGGGTGAGATGGACCATTAAAAGTAAGGGACAGGGAGACTGTGTTTCATGTGCCAATCCCCGCCCCCTACTTGCCACAGTTCCTTTGTTAGAAGAAGAAACTAATATGTCCTGCCTAATTAGAATGTATAAAGATAACATCACTGAGAAGGAATGTTCTGATTTTGTTAAGAAGTTCCCTGTTACCGGATTACGAAATTTACCTTTGGCCTCTAAACCGGTACCAGGAAATTTTACCTGCTTTGAACATGATGATGCTAAGGGTAAAGATTTAGGTACATTCCCACCTAATTACTGTGTTAAGACCATCCGCACCTCCGCAGAAGGCTACCGGAAGGAATGGTTTCAGGACCACCGGCAGCAACTGTGTGTGGAGATATGAGACTCAGAGCCAGACTCCCCAGCAGATGGAAGGGAAGCTGCGCTCTGACCCATCTTCTCATGCCTTTCTTTATGATCAAAGTAGAAGATGGGATAAGAAGCTTGCCCATCTTGGAAAAATCCAGATCTAGAAGGTATAAAAGAAATGCACCCCGTGGTTCCTTTGATAATAGAGTTTACATAGATGCTATAGTGTGTACCAAGGGAGTCCCTGATGAATTTAAAGCTCAGGACCAGATTGCTGCAGGGTTTGCCTCTATTGCTGTATGGTTACAGCCTAACAAAAATGTGGATTGGATTAATTACATTTATTATAATCAACAAAGGTTTGTTAACTATACTAGAGATGCTCTAAAGGGGGTCTCTGCCCAACTTGATGCAACATCCCTTACTGCTTGGCAAAACCGCATTGCTCTTGATATGTTATTAGCTGAGAAAGGAGGAGTATGTAAAATGTTTGGTTCCTACTGCTGTACTTTTATCCCCAATAACACCGCTCCTGATGGAAGCATTACTAGAGCCCTTCAAGGCCTCCAAATGTTGTCTGAAGAATTGGCTGAAAACTCAGGAGTAGAAAATCCACTAGCTGGTTTTTTTGAAAATTGGTTTGGTAGATGGGGAACTCTGATGAAAACTATGCTGATTTCTATAGTAATGGCTGCTGCAGTATTAACTCTGTGTGGTTGCTGTTGTATCCCCTGCATCCAAGGTTTAATGCAGAAACTTATTGACGCCACCATTACTAGAACCATGTGGAATCAGTATCTTGATAAAGGACCTACTAAGGGCCCCAGGTACCAACCTGTAAAAAAGGTGTAAGGTCACGTGCGTGACCTAAGAGGGGGTTTGAAGGAATTAGCCTTTCAGCATTACCATACCGCCATTTTGTCTCTTAGCCTAAGATCTGCCATTTTAAGATAAGAATCCATTTTAAGACTTATGTCAGTACTTAAAGATGAATTTGTGTTTTAAGACTGTTTCTTACTTTCGATAAGAGTCTGAGGTTCCTCTTTTCCCTTCAGATGTAACTTCCTTTTTTCCTCTACCTAGCACAAGACTGAAAGTCTGCGGTGGGCTTTTTCCTGTTGCAAGAGTATTAATAAACTATAGCCAGCGCTAAAAGGGAAGTTGTCTACTTTCTATACTGATCAAAAGTTCATGCTTGACGCATATAATAATAATAATTAACATAAATGCTAAATGATTGGGCATTACTGACGTATATAATATTCTGATTGGTCAATGCATACCTGTCAATTGATTGGTTCTTATATTTCTATGTATTGTTTTAAGTTTCATATATAAGTTTAAACACGGAAGAATAAATTCAGTTCCTTCTGAGATATCACCTTGTGTCTGTGTGCAACTTCCTGTATCTCAAAGGGAACTCCGGGCCTGTGGACAGACATTGATCAGGGCCAGGGGACTGACGGGAGTCGGTAGCTACAGGAAGGAACGAGAGGAGCCAATTCCTTTCACACTCATCGCCCTCTCTTATATGGACTAAATTGTAGGCTCCCCGTAAGTCCAATTTAGTGAACACTCGGGCTGTTCGAAATCTCTGAAACAACTTGGGCACCAGAGGAAGAGCATACTGTCGCAAAAGCGCGCATCAGAGATGGACGCAGTTCAACCATTTTGGTTTCAACCTCCATCTTGGCGAAGGGACTAACCATCCTGACATATATTTTCCTGCATCCTCCCCCCTTCCCTCTCTGTTCAGCCACAGCGACATCTGGTTGTGGGTCACTAGCAGGCTAGAGCAGCAGGGGGCCCAGAGCTACAAAGCCCCCCAAGAGAGACAGAGCCGCTCTGCCCAAGAACCTGTGGAATCTCTCACCTCGTAACAGAGATAAGGCAGCTTTTCCCAGGAATTGAAAGAGATTTTAACCTCATAAAACCTAGCATCGTAGGTGACAGAATTAAATGAACATTCCTCAAGTCAGTTTTTCCCCTATTTTACATATCTTGAAATATGGAAGACTTACATAAAAACCGGGCACCTTGTCAGATGGCCAACGCACAGACGGATGATCTGATAGGTCTCTCCACTCGTTTCGCAGGCTCCAGGGAGCCAAAACATAAAACTCGTACACCGTGTAACGTACAATCTCATAATTCATATCTACATGATCCCTAGACTCATTTGCATAATAAAATACCCGCGGAGAGATTGTCGCTTGTGCAGCTGGAAAGTTATAGGCCAAAATATGGATTATGAAAGATGTTGGTTCTAATTCAGAGTTCTGCCAACAATCCCTCCCTAAACAGAGTATTGGTCAGTTACTCAGAGCCACCCCTGGGGGACTTTAAAAACAGGCTAGCAGGCCTAAAAAGTTAAGTTGAAGACATCTCCCATTTTGTAACATCAATACCACCTGGGGAGACCCTTTTCGCTCTGCAACTTGGATCTGCTTACATCTACAGCTTAAATGGCAAGTAACTTAACCCTTTAACTTCTCCCTGTTATCTCTTTGCTGTGCTATGCTGTTTTCTATGTATATATTTATATCTTAGTTACATCTTTTTCTGTAAATATTTGATTGCACCTGTTTGACTCTTTTAGTAATAAATCTTTCTTTCTGAAAGTGTTAGACTGTTTCTAAAGCGCTTAATTGCAATTTACGAATTCCTGCCTCTAAAGAGACGCTACTGTGTTTGTTTATTCCTCTGCCCAATCGGCCTGCGGTGACCGTATTGGTCAGACGACTTTTCAACCATTATAGTGTATATTTGATAAAGAGAGTTTCCTCTTTCTCTGTACAAAAAAGGTGTGGTGGCAGTGTGTAAGGGTCAGTTGCGTAATTAACCTGACTCAGTAACAAGCGCATTCAGGCTGCAGGCACAGATTGAAATTCATTAGCTGGAAAATCGCTGTGTAGGGTGCTGCTGGGTATGGCATTGTTACGCACGTCACATCGCAGTCTGCATTGGCCAGTCCTTCGGTCATGAGTTTGGTGAGAAGGTCTGGGGTCTGACGCCACCATCATGACAGATACTGGTTTTTGATGGTAATTTTATTAAGTTTCCTGTAGTCAATGCAAGGTCTAAGAGACCATTCCTTTTTTCTACATAGAAAATACCAGCCCTGGCAGGAGAGGAAGAAGGGCGGATGAATCTGAGATTCTCGTCTAGATAGTGCCAGAGGGCTTCCGGTTCAAGTTCGGACAATGGGAAAATTCGCCCAAATGGTATTTCTGCCCCTGGGAATAACTCAATTGGGCAATCGTAAGACCGATGAGAACCCAATGTGTCGGCCTTCTTCTTATCAAACACATCCAGGAAGCCGTGGTAGGGAAAGGGAACTGATTGACTGGCCTCTGGTGAAGGTTGGACTGAGACATACAGAAGAATTGGTGAGAGCAGGGGCACCACAGTGTTGTAAACAATATTCTGAAGAAAAGATGATTTCCTTCTTGGGCCAATTGATCTGTGGGTTGTGGGCTTTCAACCAGGGTATTCCTAGGATGGCTGGAAACATGGGGGATCTGATTACGTCAAAACGAATAAACTCCTGATGAGTCAGTGTGTCACCATCCGCCTGGCGGCTTCTCTATCGGTCCACCGCACAGGGTTCCTCAGGGCGCGGGGTCTAAGTCCCAATCTGCTTATTCACCAGGGCCCCTGATGGTGGGGATGGACTTGGAGCAGACTGAGACCAGGTCGCGACCCCTGAGTACGTCCGACAATGGTAGAGAGCACCGTCAGAGGAGTGCGGGTAAAGGAGTCTGATGTGAAGAGGCTGGCAGACCTGGTAACCGGGAACGATCCGTACGGGATGGATGGATCGTCTGGGTGACGTGAAGTGTAGTCAGGCAGGCCAGGTCAGCAATGTGCGGGCAGCGAGGTACCGGAGGAGTAGGCTCAGAATGGTCGAGGTCACAAGCCGGGTTCAGTAACTAGCGGACAGCGCGGTACAGAGGATCAGGCAGAAGGATGGTGTCAGGATACGGGTGTTCTGCGGCATCACGTCGGGGGCGGCGCATGCGCAGAACACCAACACTCACTAGTGGAAAGGGTAACAACACTCAGTGGAAAGGGTATGGTCCAGAGGAGAACTCATGGGAACCCTCCCAGAACATTCATGCCTCTAGATTGATTCGGGATTTTTTTTTGACAACCACCCACGCAAGAGAGAACTGTTGGGCATCCGGCGGCTGCCCGTAGGGGGGGGGCAATGTCAGGATACGGATGTTCTGCGGCATCGCATTGGGCGGCGCATGCGCAGAACACCAACACTCACTACCCAGCGGGCGGTAGGACCTGGGCGCGCATGGCGGCGGCGGCGGGGTTTGCGCATGTGTACTCGGGATCGCGGACACGCGCCTGGCACCAATGACAGCGGGAGGCGGGCTATTTAAACATAGGAACAGGTATGTCAAGTTGTCGTTTGGTCTTGTATCCTGTTCCTGATTCTGTGTTGCTGTATACTCCGTTGCCGACCTCTGCTTGTTCCTGATCCTGCTCTTCTCCTGCTTAACCCCTGGCTTGCCTGACTATTCTTCCGTCTGATCCCTTGTACTGTATTTGCCCGCATCCTGCTGAACCTGGCTTGTGACCTGACCATTCTTAGCTCGCTCCTATTGTACCTCGCTGCCCGCATAATACCGACCCGGCCTGTCTGACCTCGCATACCGTACCCGACCATCCATCCATCCGGCTCGGATCAGACCAGTGTATCTGTCTACCTTTTCCAATTAGATTCCGTTCCTGCACTCCCCTGTCAGTACTCTCTACCACCGCAGGACGCACTCGGGGGTCGCGACCTGGTTCCAGTCTGCACCAAGTCCATCCCCACCATCAGGGGCCCTAGTGAACAGCAGGCTGGGACTTAGACCCCGCCCCCTGAGGGCATCCGTGCGGTGGGCTGCTAGAGACTCTGCCAGGTGGTTTATAACAGATGGTCAGGCAAGCCAAGGGTTAAGCAGGAGACAATCATCAGGGTCAGGTACAAGGCAGAGGTCGGCAACTGTCAGGGCTGGAGCGGTGGAATGGTCAGGCAGGCCTTATGGTAAGGTCACGCACCGACAGGGGACAGCCTCTGGTGACCCACAGACCGGAGTCCCTCAGGGCGTGGAGTCTAAGCCCCAGGCTGCTTTTCACCAGGGCCCCTGATGGTGGGGATGGACTTGACGCAGCCTGAGACCAGGTCGCAACCCCCGAGTAACCCCAGCTGCGGTACGGCTGCTGCCAATGGCGTATAGCGGGTAGGGGCCAGATGGAAAGATGTATAGGGTGGTTGGACAGGCCGGGTCAATAACAGCGGAACAGACAGTACAAGCCGGTAGGCAAGAATACTCAGGTCACAGGCCGGGTTCAGAAACGGGAGGTCAGGTAAAGGAACAAAGCAGAGAATGGTCAGAACGGGCCAAGGGTTAGAGCAAGAGGAGTCTTTGTCAAAGCCGAGTCGGTTTCCAGGAGAGCAACGAGAACTGAACAAGAGCTTGCTGCAATGCAACATACAGGACACGAATGCAAAGAACGTCTGCAACCGACAGACTTAAATGTGATAAGCCTCACCCTCCTAGGAGGAGCTGCAGAGGACTGAGAGCATAAAGGATCCCACAATGCTTAGCAGACACCCAAGATGGATGCCAGCACATGGAGCCGCACAAACCCTGAGGAAAGGTAGGACCTTGACAGTACCTCCTCCTCAAGGGCCCCTCCCCCTCCGCTGCTCAACATAAGGCTTCTGGGGAAAGCGGGCGTGAAAAGCGCAGAGGAGGGCCGGAGCATGAACATCCACGAAAGGAACCCAGGAACGCTCCTCGGGACCATAACCGCGCCAATGGACCAGGAACTGCACCCAACCGCGGACCAATCAAGAGTCCAGGATGCGGCTCTCCTCCTCATGCCCGTCAACCCAGATAGGACGGGGTCGAGGCAGAGAGGCAGTAAAGCGATTACAGACTAGAGGCTTCAACAGGGATACATGGAAGACATTAGAGATACGCATCCCAGCAGGAAGAGCAAGGGCATAGGCAACCAGGTTTACCCTGCGGAGGATGCGGAAAGGACCAACAAAATGGGGGGCCAGTTTGGGAAGATTGAGGTTGCGAGTGGACAACCACACCCGATTTCCGACCTGGTATGAAGGAGCAGGCAACTGTCTACGATCAGCCTGGAACTTCTGGCGCTGTGCTGAGTCCTTCAAGGACCTCTGGATCTGCCCCCACGAAGAACGCAGGGCAGCAAGATGGTTATCCACAGCCGGAATATCCTGTGGTGAGAACAACTCAGGCAATACCGCAGGTTGGAACCCATAGTTGGCCATGAAGGGAGACATCCTGGAGGAGGAGTTGACAGCCGAGTTTCTGGCAAACTCCGCCCATGGCAGAAGATCAGCCCAATTGTCTTGATGGTCTGAGATATAGCAGCGAAGGAATTGTTCCAGGGCCTGGTTGGAACGCTACGCAGCCCCATTGGACTGCGGGTGGTAGTCCGAAGAGAAGGAAAGCTTGATACCCAACTGGGAGCAGAAGGTGCGCCAGAACCTGGACACAAACTGACTCCCACGGTCTGAGACAATCACCTTAGGCAACCCATGCAAGCGAAAGATCTCCTTGGCAAAAACCGTAGCCAGTTCTTGCACAATGGCACATCTTGGAAAAACGATCGATAACCATGAGAATGACCGTATGGCCTCGAGACGCAGGGAGGTCTACAATAAAATCCATGCCCAGGTGTGACCAGGGACGCTCCCCATTGGGAATGGGTTGCAGAAGGCCCAGTGGAAGATGCCGAGGAGATTTGTTCTGGGCACAGACAGAACATGCCGCTATATATGAGGCAATGTCGGAACGGAGAGATGGCCACCAGAATAAACAAGAGACGACCCAGGACAACTGGTTCCTCCCCAGATGACCGGTAGTCTTGGAATTATGGTAGGTACGCAGCAAGTGGGTACGCAATCCCTCAGGTACGAAACAGCTACCATCCGGTCTCTCAGGAGGAGCATCAGTTTGAGCCGCCAAAATCTGCTCCCTAAGGGGAGAAGTCAGGCTGGTACGAATGGCAGCCAGGATCTGATCCGGAGGTATGACCGAGGTCGGCTCAGAGTCCTCCCTGGACAGCCAGGCAAATAGGAGACCACATAATTAAAATACGACAAGAACAAAGCCCATCTGGCCTGACGGGGCGTCAATCTTTTAGCCTCCGAGAGATACGTCAGGTTCTTGTGGTCAGTGAGAATGAGGACCAGAACTGCAGAACCCTCGAGCAGGTGCCTCCATTCCTTGAGAGCCTGAATAATGGCCAACAACTCCCTGTCTCCAATTTGGTAGTTGCATTCTTCAGAGGAAAGCTTCGTGGAGTAGAACCCGCAGGGAAGTAAAGGTCCATCGGGTGACCGACGCTGAGACAGGAGGGCGCCTACTCCTGTCTCCGATGCATCAACCTCGAGGACAAAGGGCAACCCAGGATTGGGATGAGACAGTATCGGAGCCGAAGCGAAGGCAGATTGCAGAGCCTTGAAAGCTAAGATGGCCTCGGATTACCACTCGTGGGGATTACTGCCCTTCTTGGTCAGATCTGAGAGATGCTTGGCCAGCGTGGAGAAGTTCCTGATAAACTTCCGATAATAGTTGGCGAAACCCAAAAAGCGCTGAATGGGCCGAAGACCATTGGGATGAAGCCACTGCAGAACCGCCGAAACCTTCTGAGGGTCCATGGAAAATCCCACCGCGGAAATGATGTAGCCCAAAAAGGCAACCTGGGATCGGTGGAATTCACACTTCTCGAGCTTACAGAAAAGTTCGTTCTCACATAACCGTTGCAGCACCCGCTTAACATTCTGGATATGAGATTCCATGGAGACAGAGTAAACCAGGATGTCATCCAAGAAGTAAACCACCACGCACTGCTGCAACAAGTCACAAAAGACATCATTGATGAACTCCTGAAAGACCGCGGGCACGTTACACAACCAGAAGGGCATCACCAGGGATTCATAGTGGCCGGTTCTGGTGTTAAACGCGGTCTTCCACTCGTCCCCCTCCTTGATCCGTATGAGGTTGTACGCTGCCCTAAGGTCGAGTTTGGTAAAGACCATTGCTCCCTTGAGGCGGTCGAACAACTCGGTAATCAATGGGATTGGGTAGGCATTTTTAATCGTGATTCAATTGAGGCCCCTATAATCAATGCAAGGCCTCAATTCACCGCCCTTCTTTTTTACGAAGAAAAAAGCCAGCTCCTGCTAGGGAAGTAGACTTGCGAATGTGCCCCCGGGAAAGCACATCCGCAACGTACTCCTCCATGGCCTGATTCTCCGCAACCGAAAGAGGATACACCCTGCCATGAGGAGGAGTGGCACCTGGTTGCAAGGCTATGGTGCAATCGTATGGACGATGGGGAGGCAGCGCACCGGCGCGCACCTCGCCAAACACGTCCAGGTACTCCCCATAGTCAGTAGGCAACACAGAGTCTGATGAGGCACACAACACCTTAACCTGCCCACGGATGCAACTGGCCCCACACTGGAGACCACGAGAGAATCTCAGCCGTTCACCAATTAAAGGTTGGATTGTGCTTCTGAAGCCAGGGATACCCCAAAACCACGGAGTAGTGCGGAGAAGAAATTACCTGGAAACAGGCCAACTCCCTGTGAACAGCCCCAATAGCTACTTCAACCGACAGGGTCTCGTGGGTAACCTGCGGTGGTTGCAGGGGCCTGCCATCTATCGCCTCGAGAACCAATGGGGTAACTCGAGACTGCAGGGGAATGGGGTACTGGGCAGCAAACGAACTGTCCATGAACAACCCGCCAGCACCAGAGTCTACCAGCGCCTGGGCCATCACCGAACCCTCCGCCCAAGAGAGGACAACAGTGATTAGTGGTTTATTTTTGTGGGACTCCGGGGACGACAAAACTCCACCCAAGATCTGCCCCCGACAGGATCTCAGGTGCGAGCGTTTCCCGGACGGACTGGACAGGACTGCCGAAAATGCCCACCGAGACCACAGTACAGGCAGCGACCCTCCCGACGCCGAGAGGCCCGCTCCCTCTTGGAAAGGCAAGCAAACCCCAGCTGCATGGGCTCTTCGCCAGACAAGCCCTCCCCAGGAGATGTGGGAGGTGCAGGTGGGACAGAAAACGTAGGCGCCAATTGGTTAGGAGGCCTCCGCAGACGCTCCTTAAGTGAAGACCTCTCCCTGAGCCTGGTGTCAATCAGGATTAGGAAGGAAATGAGTGCTTCGAGCTCCACCGGCAGTTCCTTGGCTGCAATCTCATCCTTCAACACATCTGAAAGGCCATGAGAGAAAGCAGCCACCAGAGCCTCATTGTTCCAGCCCACCTCTGCCGCCAGGGTACAAAATTCTATGGCGTACTCGGCAACGGTCTGTGAACCCTGATGCATGGACATGAGCAGCTTGGCAGCAGAGGCGGAGCGGGCCAGCACGTCGAATACCCTACGGAAGGTGGCAACAAAACCGGCAAACTCGTGAATCATCGGGTTATTGTTCTCCCATAAGGGATTTGCCCAGGCCAAGGCCTTGTCTGAGAGCAGCGAGATTAGGAAGCCCACCTTTGACCTCTCCGTAGGGAAAGCGGGTAATAACTCAAAATAATTGCCCACTTGGTTAAGGAAACCACAACACTGACTCGGCTCACCCCCAAAGCGCTGTGGAAGAGGGGCACCGCGGGTGCTGCAGCAGATGCGGAGGTAGGCGCAACAACCGGAGCAGCAGCGGAAGCGACCACTGGAGTGAAATCCGGCCTAATAGCACCAGAAGCAAGGTGCGTGGTGCGTGCAAGCAGAGTCTGCAATGCCTGAGCGAACTGGTCCAACAAGAGATCCTGTTGATCAAGTCTGCTGACTAACATGGGAAGCGAAGGCGTACTTGCTCTGTTAGGATTCATGGCATTCGTGTAGTGTCAGGGCTGGAGCGGTGGAATGGTAACG